TTTTATTTAATTATTATTAACAATTAATAATATAATTTTGCCATAAAATTTTTAAATATTGTTTTTATTTAATTATTATTAACAATTAATAACTTTTAATTATGTAATAATTTATAAAAATAATTAATATTTATTTAAAAATAAAATAATTAATATTAATTATTTAAAAATAATTTATAAATTACTATTTTCAAACGGTATAAGTATAACTAACCATTATTTTACCATAACACTACTCAGCACTGTGATAATAACTAAGCCCTAGACATACCGTCCAAGTATCACTCCACAATTTTACAATTTGGTCGCCACCGTCCCTATTCCTACTAAAATCAACAAATCAAAAAGATCCCACAAAAATATAAAAATTATGCGTAAATTTTTTTTTAAAAAAAAAAACGACATTTCATTAAAGTTAGAGGCTGAAGAAAATGTAGTAGTACAATTAAGAAGGAATTTGATGCTCTTCGAGATTTCTTTGAGAGGTTAACGAGAAAATTAATTTTATAAATTTTAAATTGTATGTGGATGATTTATTTTTAATTTCATAAAAGAGTTTTTCTTTTCAAACATAAATAATTTATTACAATTAACAAAAGAGAAGAAGAAGGAAAAATGATAAAAAAAAAAAAATTGGTGACATTTAAACACAATTTATCAAGTAAATTTCACATAATATCAATAATTAAACTACTATACCTGTAACCTAAATTTCAATCTCAAAATAGTTAGATCTAGCATGGTGTACGAAAAAGTAATAATTTCAACACATTAACATGCTACATTTGTCTTTTTTCTAGGGTTCAATTCAATTACACAAGAACCTTTTATAGAAAAAAATATATTGTTTTTGTATTTATACACTTGAGGTGAAACATGGAGATAAGCCAATTGTGAAATAGAATCTGCCAGCAAGGGATCTTCAAATTTCATTGAAAAAGATCCAATTTTTATTCCTGGGTTTTTCATTTTGAGCTCCCATTTTCATCCACTGAATACCAATCTGATTTCCTTCATTTACTTCCATACAAATTTTAGGGATTTTGTATCGTTTTGCAGACATTTTGTATGACGAGGGCTTGTCGTTTTCTTCTTAGGTGTCCAGTCAGCCACCACCATCCACCAACACCCCCACCCGCCCCTTGAAGCCCACAAATTTTTCATTTTTAATATCCATTTTATATACTGAATCTATTTATATAGGGACAAATTTCTCTTGCATTCCCACCACCACCAACCCACCTTACTCGCTTCATCTATGGGCAGAAAAATAATAACTTCCTTGAAATTTCTCTAGTTTTTACACCAACCCCGTTGCTTTTCCTCTTGCTGAAAAGAACCCAGAAGCCAGAACTCTGTTCCCGTGGGCGCAATGGAACGTGTGAGGAGGGTGGCTAACCGTGCAATCCTCAGACGTTTGTTGAATGAGGCCAAGCAATCCAGGAATGGGGCTGAAATGAACTCTAGATCATCCCCTGTGTTGTACACACCTTCAAGGTATGTGTCATCACTGTCCCCATTTGCTTCTAATGGCTCTGTGTCAGATTTGTTGTCTGGTAGAGGTGTGTCATACAATGTTGGTTATGGGGTTGGGTCACAAATTCGATCTGTATCGGTTGAGGCATTGAAATCCAGTGATACTTTCCCTCGCCGACATAACTCTGCAACCCCAGAAGAGCAGAGTAAAATGGCTCAGTCATGTGGGTTTGAGAGTCTTGATGCACTTGTTGATGCCACAGTGCCTAAATCTATTCGTATTGATTCGATGAAGTTCTCTAAGTTTGATGAGGGGTTAACTGAGAGCCAGATGATTGATCACATGAAGAAACTGGCATCAAAGAACAAGGTGTTCAAGTCATTTATAGGGATGGGGTATTATAATACTCATGTTCCTCCTGTGATTTTGAGGAATATTATGGAGAATCCGGCTTGGTACACTCAGTATACCCCGTATCAGGCTGAGATATCTCAAGGCCGTCTTGAGTCCTTGCTTAATTACCAAACCGTGATTACAGATCTTACTGGTTTGCCCATGTCAAATGCTTCCTTGCTTGATGAGGGCACTGCTGCTGCTGAGGCAATGGCTATGTGTAACAATATACTGAAAGGAAAGAAGAAAACTTTTATTATTGCCAACAATTGCCACCCACAAACAATTGATGTTTGTGAGACTAGAGCTGGTGGCTTTGATATTAAGGTAGTTACTGCAGATCTTAAAGACATTGATTATAGCTCGGGTGATGTCTGTGGGGTATTGGTTCAGTATCCAGGTACTGAGGGTGAAGTTCTGGATTATGGAGAGTTTGTTAAGACTGCTCATGCTCATGGGGTAAAGGTTGTCATGGCAACTGATTTGCTGGCTTTGACAATGTTGAAGCCTCCTGGTGAATTTGGGGCAGATATTGTTGTTGGCTCAGCTCAGAGGTTTGGAGTGCCAATGGGGTACGGAGGTCCTCATGCTGCGTTCCTTGCCACTTCCCAAGAGTACAAGAGGCTGATGCCAGGGAGAATTATTGGTGTTAGTGTTGATTCTTCAGGAAAGCCTGCTCTGCGTATGGCAATGCAGACTAGGGAGCAACACATTCGAAGGGACAAGGCTACCAGCAACATCTGTACAGCCCAAGTAAGAGATTTGATTTTTATTTGATTTATTCTGTATTTTCCTCTAGGGATTTCTTTCATAGACGTCAAGGAAATTGCTAATGAAACTTATTGTGAGGAACATGTTTCCCTTAGCATTACATATAACAATTTTACTCTGCTTGGTTTGATTGAGTATTTTATATAATATTATACAGGCATTACTTGCAAACATGGCCGCTATGTATGCTGTCTATCATGGACCTGAAGGCCTAAAAACCATTGCCCAAAGGGTCCATGGTCTAGCCGGAACATTTGCACTAGGACTGAAGAAACTGGGGACAGTTGATGCCCAGGGCCTTCCCTTCTTTGACACTGTTAAGGTCAAAGTTTCTGATGCTCATGCAATTGCAGATGCTGCTTACAAGAGTGAGATGAATTTGCGGGTTGTAGACCCAAAAACAGTGAGTCAGATTTGCATGTGTTTCTTTGGTTTGGTTAACTATAATCGCAGATTGTGTATTTATTTGTTTTATTGCCTTTCAGATCACTGTTTCATTTGATGAAACAACCACCTTGGAAGATGTTGATAAGCTTTTCAAAGTATTTGCAGGGGGCAAAAGTGTAAGTTTCAATAATCCTTCTTGATTTATGTTTGCCATTAATTAAATATTTGGTGCTCTGATTAAAAGCTTTCTGTTTGATCCATTAGGTTCATTTTACTGCTGCATCTCTTGCACCAGAAGTTCAGAATGCAATTCCTTCAGTGCTAACAAGAGAAAGCCCATATCTTACCCATGCCATATTCAACACGTAATAATCTGTCTCAGAAGATGCATATTACTCATAGTTTATCAATTGGTTGTCACTCTTACATTTCTTTCTGTTTCCTTTTAGGTACCACACAGAGCATGAGTTACTTCGCTATATTCACAGGTTGCAATCAAAGGACCTTTCACTCTGCCACAGTATGATACCTTTGGGATCTTGCACAATGAAGTTGAATGCAACAACTGAAATGATGCCAGTTACATGGCCTAACTTTACTGACATTCACCCTTTTGCCCCTGCTGAGCAGGCTGAGGGTTATCAGGTACTTAATAATAATAATAATAACAATAATAACAGTAATAAAAATAAAAATAAAAGTTTTTTACATAGATCTTCCACGTGTATGTAATTTTTTTAGTGCCTAAAGAATGGAAACACAGTATAATTGATTTAATGAAATATTTTTCTGTCTTATTAGGAAATGTTCACAGATTTGGGCGAACTGTTATGTACCATCACTGGTTTTGACTCATTCTCATTGCAACCTAATGCTGGTGCTGCTGGCGAGTATGCTGGGCTGATGGTTATTCGTGCATATCATATGGTATGAGATACTAACCACTTTATAGACCATTTGCTCGAAAATTTTCAATTTTGCTTGTCAAGGGACATTAGTAATCTGTGTTATTTTATTTTTGTTTAGTTTAGCATTTCTTTTGTGCATGGCTTTAACTGTTTAAGCTGACTCATGATACTGATTGGATATTGTAGTCAAGAGGAGACCATCACCGAAATGTGTGCATCATACCTGTCTCGGCACACGGGACAAATCCTGCTAGTGCTGCTATGTGTGGAATGAAAATTGTTGCTGTTGGAACTGATGCCAAGGGGAACATCAACATTGAAGAGTTAAGAAAAGCTGCTGAAGCTCACAAGGACAACCTATCTGCTCTCATGGTATGAATTTTACTATTTAAGTTTAAATTGATGAAAAATGAAAGGGGCAGGGGATTGGGAAATTCCTTGTACAAACATCAGTTGATATCTGAATCTGTTGCAATTTTCAGGTTACATATCCTTCAACCCATGGAGTCTATGAAGAAGGGATTGATGAGATATGTAAAATAATTCATGAAAATGGAGGACAAGTGTACATGGATGGGGCTAACATGAATGCTCAGGTCTAATTTTCCTTCTCTTTGCACACACTTAATTCATACATAAATATTACTACTGAAGCATGCTCTAGGTCACAAATCCTGAACTAGACCAAGCTCTTCTTAATTAGTGCATCAAAATGTGCATCTGGGCTAGTTTTTCCTTTTTCCTTTTTTTTACCCACCCACGAGGCTAAATTTTCTGTTGGATATGCTTATACTATTGATCAACTGGAAATGAGACCATCTCTTACTTATTAGTTATTACAAAGTTTCTGTTAGTCTAGTCTTTTACTAGATTACCTGTAAGAGTCTAGGATTTGCTAGACTGCCTGTAATGCTAGTATCTGGTTGGAATTTGGAAGTATATTTGTCAAAGCTCTATATATATTCAAGTCTGAAGAATTTTCTGGTCTTCACAGGTGGGCTTGACTAGCCCTGGTTTCATTGGAGCAGATGTTTGCCATCTCAATCTCCACAAGACATTCTGCATTCCACATGGAGGTGGTGGTCCTGGCATGGGCCCTATTGGTGTTAAGAAACATTTGGCACCATTTTTGCCTTCACACCCTGTGGTAAATACTTTCATTTCCAAATTTACATATGAAGAACTCCATTTAACATTTTTGTGCTTGTCACATGAATACGATTTCTGTGAAAAGAAATTCATCCTTAAATTTTAACTTCGATTGAATTTTCTGTATAATTCATAATATTGTGGCAGATTGATAAGAACTGACAATCCATGGTGACTTCTTCTGGTTCAAACCCTTCTCCAGCTTGTTCTTAATTATTTTGCTGTCATACTGCAGATACCTACAGGTGGCATCCCAGCCCCCGGGGAGTCCAAACCTCTCGGTACAATTTCTGCTGCACCCTGGGGCTCTGCACTTATCTTGCCAATATCATACACTTACATAGCTATGATGGGGTCTAAGGGGCTCACTGAAGCTTCAAAGATAGCTATTTTAAATGCAAACTACATGGCCAAACGTTTGGAGGTATACGAAGTTTGAAATTCTTAGCTATAGCACTCCAAATAAAGTTTAGGATAATTTTGACTTAACTCTTGTTTGATGGCTGCTTTGCCTTTGCAGAATCACTATCCCATTCTATTCCGTGGTGTGAATGGAACTGTTGCTCATGAATTTATCGTAGACTTAAGAGGCTTTAAGGTCGTACCATTATATTATTAGTAGTTTTCTCTCATCTGCTGTTGTTCTCTGTACCATAACCTAATACAGGCCTTTGTTGCAGAATACTGCTGGAATAGAGCCAGAAGATGTTGCAAAACGTCTTATGGACTATGGATTCCATGGACCAACAATGTCATGGCCTGTACCAGGCACCCTCATGATCGAACCCACTGAAAGTGAAAGCAAGGTTTATAATTCATGAAAGATTTTCTTCTCTTTAACTTACATTTATCTTTTGTCTCCTTTACACCATAATCAATTACATTTATCTTTTGTCTCCTTTACACCATAATCAATATCCTTTGCAGGCTGAGTTGGACAGGTTTTGTGATGCTCTTATCTCCATTAGGGAAGAAATTGCACAAATTGAGAAAGGAGAGGCTGATATCCTCAACAATGTCCTGAAGGTGATGAACGGGCAATTTCCTTACCAACTGTGTTCTAGTTTTGAACTTTTGCATTTACTTCTGTGTTTAATTGGGAAACCAATAAACCATCTCCTACCTGAAAATGTTATGGACCATGCCACAATACTCTTATTCATCTGCTCTCTAAGGAATTATCTGAAATATTCTGTTGCAGGGAGCTCCTCATCCACCATCCTTGCTCATGGGAGATGCATGGACAAAGCCATACTCCCGTGAATATGCAGCTTTCCCTGCTTCCTGGCTCCGTACCGCTAAATTCTGGCCTTCTACAGGTATGCATGTTCATCCTTCATTTGTATAAACATGCATTTAGTCTTAACTTTCTTGATCTTACTGACAACTCAATTTCTGGGCTGCTTCTTCAGGACGTGTGGACAATGTGTATGGAGACCGCAACCTCATCTGCACCCTTCTCCCAGTGTCACAGATGGTGGATGAACCAGCAGCAGCAACTGCTTAGGATCAACATCTGTGCCCCTTGATGAGGGAGGGTTCTTCATAGACATGGAAAATTAAAGCTATCTTCCTCTTGCTCACTTGTATATAAAACTACTTCCCCTTTCTATATCCTCATTTGCAGCTGGTGTCTTCAATTTCATTGATAAATACTGTGATTATTAGCTGCCTTAATAACCATTTTGTCAGGTAATTGCAACTTAAATGTTGTAATTATCATTCCTCTATATTTTCAATCCTGTCAATATTAGCAGGAGAAGGTGTCGCTTGTTCTACATACAGAATAGCTGCTATTACCATGGAAATTCTGAAAATCATGTTCACCTAAAATCTGACTCGGACAGATAAATTAATGGCATAAAAAAGATCTTGGCTACCCAACAACTTCTGAGATTCTCTTTTGCCCAAAAAATTAAAATGGAAAAAAAAAATTTTCTCTCTCTTTATTATTATTTTTTTTTCGAAAATATTATAATTATAATATTATATAAAATTATAAATTTATAACATGGTATGTTATTATATAATTAATTATTTTTATTGTGAGATTTATTTGTAATATTATATTTATTTATTTAATATTATATCATAATTATTTAATAACATATTATGATTATAAATTTATAATCTTATATGATATTATAATTATAGTAAATCTTATATGGTATTGTAATTATAATATTGCTAAATATAACATTGCAATTTTAATTGGTTTTACTAGCATATTCTTTTTAGGTTCCATTCAATTTAACTTGAAACTCTTTTATGCATTTAGAAATTAGAATACTACTTTTCAATACAAACTGGTAAGAATATTATCCAGACAGAAAATGACTATAATTTTATACTTTTAATACCTTGAGTTTTGAAGAATGACATTGTAGTTATTTTCAGTTTGTAGGGACACTTTTTTTTGCCAATTCAGATTAAAAAATCAGTGTTCTCCAAGTTGTTTAAGACTTTAAGTTGATAAATTTCTCAGTGGGTTTTTTTCTTTTTATTTTTCTTTTGCCTTTTCTCAGTGGTTAGCTAGTGAAATATTTATTTTAAAATAAGGCAATTTTTAGAATTTGAATGGAGATTGAGTGGTAATGGAAAAATCACCAGCAATGTCCATCGTGGAAAAACTTTGCTTAGTCAACATGTACGTAGTTGGCAATTCCTGTAATCCAAGCCATGGCCAGCTCTGCCATTGTTGTCTCCAGTATCAATTTAAAAACATGTTCAAGTCAAATTATGATATTCATTGTGAGCTATAAATAATTGAGGATGGGAGAAATAAAGGCCTTCTAATATTAAAATATGTCAAAATACACGGTTAAAATGACCTAAAATATAATGTAAATTTTATTTAAAGTCCTATTTATTATGTGATTAGAATTAAATCTAATTTTTATTTTTTTACAAATAAAACATATAAATAAAATTTTAATTGAGTTTAATATTTATTAACTAAAAATTTTTGGTTACTTTATTTATATATAATGTAATTTGAATTTAAAATTTTTTATTTTTATTAAAAATTCTTATTAAATTATTTAAATAATTAACTTTAAAATTAAAATTAAGATTCAAACATTTGAGTTTTTTTTTTTAATTTAGTTACACAATAAAAAATAATTATTTTTTATTTTTTATTACACTTTACTCATATATCATATGATTGCAATTTAAAATTTTTTACTTGAAAAAACATTAAATTAATTAAATTGTTGATCAAACATCCGAGTACTCTAAATAAATAAACTTCAAATGTAAAAAAATAAAAATAAAAATTCAAAATTAAACATAGACTTTATCATTTCTCTACGGTCTATTGGATAGGAATGAGGACATGTCTGTTTTTCCAATTGTCCTTCAGCTTCAGGATAGGATCGTTGAGACTTGGGACCGGCCTTTGCCATAAAATGAACGAATTTGACTGCACACGTGTGATGTTTGACAGGTGTAATTAATTGGTTTCTTTCTTGGGTAAAATCTTATCCATTTCGCTGTAAGAATTAAATCTTATCCACTTCCTCGTGAGAAATGTGCATAACACTACATAAAAAGTCGAACGGATTCATTTTTTTATGAATTGTACGTTTAAGTTTGATGAAATTTTTTTTTTAAATTAATTTTATAAATAATTATAAATTATATAAAAAAAAAAAAAAAACTACATAAAAAGTCCAACTTCAAGTATCACTTCATTGCCCAGTTCACGGCTACTACTCATTTACGTCTTTTTATTTTTTTTTTGGTTTCCGTTTGATATTCGAGATTTCGTCTCAATTAATCCGAATCGACCTGCGTCGCATACTTGGAAATGATGGATGAGACTTCCAATAAAAGTTATTACGTATACAGGGTCTCAAACTCAAAACCTTACTTAAACTGAAACAAACTGCTTACCACTTGATTCAA